TTTCCCAAAGGATAAAAAGCAGCATTTCCTTAAAACAGAGAAACAAGTGGAAATCCGTGCAGAGAAGTGCCACAGGTGTTAGTCAACTCTCAGGTAGATGCTAATGTACTGCTTTGCCTCAGTTTCCCAACGGAATAGTAAAACAGTCTGCAGTCGAAGCTTTAAAAAGCCAGTGCTGCAGTTATGAAGTGTGCCCCATTAACCACGCAGAAAAAGAAAATGAGTCCCTCTACCCACTACTCAGGGGGTTTGCTCTGGAAGAGTCACTAGCAGCAGCGCATCATCTCTTTGCAGAAAAGCCAAAAAGCACTAAGAGGTATGTGTGGAAGACAAGACTGCTTTTGTACAGGCAATATAAGAAGTACATTTTCTATTAATCAGAACAGTATTTGAGATAAAACCTAGCTGAGTAATAAAATCCTTTCTAAGTCTATAGAGCAAAGGTCCAAAGATTTTTGGATTACATTGTCAACAATTCACCTTTCTAGCATGCTGTCCCTGCGGCTGTATGATCATTTCCTGCATCTGGTCCCCTATAGCCAGAGAAAGATGGAAACAAGACTTTACATAGTTAAATTCCAGAAGTTCAAATTCAGGAACTTCAGCATGCTGCCTTACTGCGCATCTATTCTGAGCATTAGAGCAAAGATCAACGCAAGATCAAAACATGCTGCAAGCAGAGGAGAGACAAGGGACCAGAGCATGTTAACTAAGCAGGGAATCATGACGTGGATGTCAGAACATGTTCAGGCTGCATTCACACATTATACTGTGACTGAACACGTTATGCTCGCCGCTACCTGCTACAAACACCCAGCTACACTCCACCTTCCAATCTGCCAACACAACCGCTCAGGTTATCATACCTTAATCCGTTTAAAATCAAGCCAGTTAGCACAAGCACAGACTTACCAGGGGAAGAAGCTTAAGGGGATATATTCCACTCACACCCATTAGCTCATCTCCCACTCTACAGAGAGCAGCAAGAAAGATCAAGGCTAATTTAGGGAAGGGTGAAGAAGGCTAAAGCCTCTTCCCGGAGCTTTAAGAAGCCAAGGCAGCCCTGCTGCCTCGGCAGCGAGGGCAGGCTGGTGTCCGGAGCTGCAATGCAGAGCCCTGTCTCTGGCAGGCTGAGCTCCGAGGAGCACTCCTCAACGCACACTGTGAGTGAGGGGTTCAGTTCTCACGTTCGCATCTCTGGTGTAACTTCCCACGGCTTTATCAGTTTAAGCAGGTCTTGATCCATTTTGACTGAAACTGTTTAGGTGAAATTCCCATGAGCTGCTGAGCCAGTGAGTTTACTGGCCAGGGATTTCCAGAAAAGAGATAGCCACAAGCAGGTAGGATTAATGCTGAAAGAGGACATGGGTCCAGAGCCTCAGTGAAGTCAAGAGTTGGAAGAGAAAGACATCCAAGTCTGAAATACTAAGCTGTGAATTAAAGAATAAGGTGGGGAACGGAGGGAAGCAAATACTGGAGACAGGCAGTATAGAAAAAAATTGCTAGAAATTAAGATTGCAGAAAATGCAGTCAAGTCACATCTTTAACACCACATCTGTCAAAGTAATCACTGCCAACATCCTAGAGCTAAAAAAAATAAAATCTTTCTAATGCTCTGTTCATTATTTGGTCAATTGAAAGAAAAACAATTGCCATTTCAGTAAGTACTAGAGATGGATCACTTGCAAAGACAATGGTGAAGTTGATCCAGAAGGAAAAGAGTATTCCTTCCTAGAAAAACATGGAAGTAAGAAAGGTTTCAGAAACAAGTATTGTGATAGAAGTATTTAAGCCAAAAAACTTGGTAACTTAATGCTTAAAGTAGGTTGGATGTTTGCCAAAGTATCGTGCTTTAAAAGAAAAAAATTTCTACACAGACCTAAAACACTGGAATTTGTTGGGAGAAAGGGAAGCAAGAAACCACATAAGGGATGGGGTAAGATGGGTACTATTATCAGACTGTCATTTCCAGTCCCCAAGGATTTCGGTCCCTGGGTTTTAAACACACACCAGATACCAGCATTAAAATGCTGACCTGAGACAGTCTATGACTAAAGTAAAGTACATCAGGAAGTCTCTTAATAATTGTGCTCAAAAATGTCTTTGCAAAAGATAAGGAGTATCCAGTTAACTTCCTGAGGGTTAGTCACACAGTTGTTAAAAACACTCACAACCTTTTGTAAACAATCACACCCCTGGTAGCTATTCCCAGCTCAGAGCTGAGCTTTCACAGCCCACAAACCCATCACCCCATCAACTCTCCATGTCCTTTCTTGAATGTACTGTTGTATTTTGTCAGCTGCCAGCTGGTGGACTGCGAATTTTGGGTACCTCTAGTAATGTGTACACACACTTGTCACCTAAAGACAGAGATCAAAATCTTCATGGGCAAACCCAAAAATAACCTAAGGTAAAGATTTTTGGTTTCAGAAGCTATGTAACAAAGGGAGAGAGGTGAAACATTCAAAAGGAAAAAAAAAAATGCTGAGACTGGGAAACGAAGAAAGAAGTAATCATGCTGAAAGGAAAGGGCACAGAAAATGTGAGACCTGATTTTGGCAGCACAGAGGTATGAATAGACCATGTTGCATTGCAGCTTATTTCTTTATGAAGAAAGGACATAGTCACCTCAGTAATGATAAAGCCCAAGGAAACACCTCTCCCTACACCAAAGAAAGTGAATTTAAGGTGTAAAAACATTGAATAAATTGGAATCAAACCAGCAGAGGTTGTTGTCCATTTTGGAGCAAAACCTACGTAAAAAGATATTCAGAACATTTCATTAGCATTTCATTGAATTAATGGTACCCAATACATTTAGTTATCTTGAACTCTGCAAAACAGGACTCAGTAAGAACTGGTGCCATTTCTATTGCGATGGTACCCATAGGTTCTAACTAAAATAAACCAAAACTTTGCAAGCACACAGTACTCTGAAGTATTTCCAATTCAAAAGGATGTAAAACTTAAGTGGGCAGCATTAAGTTTTGTCACTTCTCATTTTACTTAAACTTCCAGTTTTCAACAGATGCAGCATTCTAAAGCAACTATTTAGTAACAAAGGTGATCTTAAATACATTAGGATTTCAGTAAATCTATGAATATTTTTATTTAAGATCTTGTCACGCAATACTTAAGAGCTACACGCTGGTTGTGGTTCCAAGCCACTTCCAGCTGTTGTCAGTATAACATACTCATCTTAAGGTTGCTAAGAAAGTATTAAAGGTAACCAAATCCGACATCTGTATTTTCTTTCCCTTTCCCCATATGTGGTCTTTTGAACTACAAACAGTCAGTATTGCATTCCCCTCTTTGCTAGTGATGGTCTAAAAACAGTTATCTGACCTTTCAAACAAAGGCAAAGCAATCAGAGTAAGGACAAGGACTGTGCTCAATATCGGGACTTCATATTAATCAGAATTATTCAGCGACCCTAGCTATTTCCTCACTAAAATAAGCGTACTAGTCAGGCAGTAAGCATACTGCTACTAAAACTCAAAGCATTGCAAGCCCCTTTACGCTTTAGAACCAACTTTAAAAGTGTGGCTCTAATTTAACAAAGTCAAACTTGTCCCACCTTTATAAGCAAATACTGTTTTCAATAGCTATCAATAAGTACGACAGGGACGACTTTTCGTCATTAACCTCAGTAAGAGGCCAGTTTTTGAAGGTATTTGTTCCTTCCATGGTACAAGTAAAACCAACACAGAAAACTGCTGGAAAGAGTACCAAGATTGCAATTTCATTTCTAATTCTCTGAAGTTTGTTAGTGTGCTTTGAAGAATTGCCTTTGAAACATGAAAAAGCAAATTCCTATTTTTTAAGACTTCTGAATGTCTGACAAAGCTATAAAACTGACAAACGTATAATCAAACTAACATAGAGACACAGACACTTAGATGTGCATGAGAAAACCTACATGGCCAAATGAAGCCTGGTTACAACTAACATTACAATACAGACATCCAAGTATCAGTAAATTAACCAAAATGTCCAATCATTTTCCCAATTGCTCACAAAACAAAGTTTTCCACAGATCTAAATTTTTACAGATACTCTAAATTCCTCTTCGCATAGTGACCTACCTCTGTATGTCTTGAATGAAGTGCATTGTATTCTTTCTTGAGTTCTGCCTCCCTCTCCTCAAGTCTGCTAACTGGAAGAAGACAAAGTAAAAAAAAAGAATTAAAATTAAAATTCAGAGTTCTAGGAAATGAGACTGACTTGCCTAGGACTAGGCAACCAGACCAGAGATGAGAGTATAGTGAATAGCAAAGAGCAGAATAAAAAAGTAAGTTGGTTCTTGTGTTTTTAAACTCTCAACACTTGAGCTTCCCAAGAACATCAACAGCAGCACAACTTTACCATTTGCAGTTCTTGCAAGAATACACTTCTTCAAATACTCTTTTTCCTAGCTGACTGCTAGGCCAATGAGAGGGGATTTTTATGTTCAAGGACAGCTTACTGCTCACACAAATCCATATTGTTTCACATGTGCACACAGAAACCGTAGGAAGAGGTGAGAGCCACATCACGTAGCTAGACTCAGTCTCGGATCAGAGCTGTGAGCTCCAGTTAAGGCTCTACATTGGTTTCTTAAAACATAACCACACACAGTTTCCAAAGGTGTTTAACTAGGACAAACATAACCAAGGTATTTTTAAAAATAGCTTCAAGTCATAAGTTGTGGTACAGAAATAAAGACTTCTGCTGGCTTTCACTCATATTACACTGAGTATGAAGGCAATAGTTTCAGGGAAAGAAAAAACCAAAACTTTTGAATATTTCTGTATTTATTCCAAGAAATCAAAAATACATCTAGCAGATGTAGAACTTTAGACAGTTCATATTAAGAGGAGATGAGCTGGAACAAACTGTGATATCCCTGTGCAATTAATTTGCAGAAAAACTAAACAAACTCCGAACTTTTTTTCCCCACACAAATTATTTTTTTCCATTCAAACAGAAAACATTTTTTGGTGCTTGGATGTGAATTCCATCTTTTTGTTCAGGTATTTTTGAGCACGATATTTATGTGACATAAGCATGTGTTTCAAGTTCTATAGCTGAGCTTCTCTTATTTTACTTGCCATGTTTAATACCCCTGGGAAACTTCAACTTTATAGTTATCCATCCCCAGAGACTCAGTGCCAAACACACATCACCTGAAGACAAATGCCAGCATCTTCTCTGCCATTTGGACATTTTCATATTGCCAACTGGGTCTTCTGAAAATTAATTCTCAATATACCACTTTTTTGCTCCACGTATCTGTATTTTGACACAGTATTTTATCATAAGTACATTTCAATCAAAAAAAATCTTTGCCAGAGTCAAATGCTGGAGCCAAAATACATAATTGTCTACTCTCAAATCTGTGTAAACATTCTTAGCTTCTAATCTAATCTTGCTCTTGTACGAACATTAAGTTCCTTGACACAACCTTTTGCACTCCACCTATAAATATCTGACCAAAAGTATTACATCAAATTTTATTTATACTAATGCAAGATTGAATGCGTTCATTTCTGCACTATTACCAGACTGAACAAAAGCTCCTTGGGTCAAACAGCAGAAAGCGATGCACAAGCGTTGCAGCACAACATATATAAATATATATTTTACAGCACAATACATACATATGTATTTTTGAGGCGCTATGCAAGACAAATACCTAATGAACGGAAGATTTTAGTTTATTATTTTTAGGCAACAGACATTTTAAGCCTCCTCATACATTTAAAGGGAGGTTATATGGAAGTTTGTGGTTAGTGCCTACAGAAACAAGTGTCAGAATTTATAGTTATACAGCTTGACATGACAAATCAAATTTTATCCACTAGCTTAGTCTGACCAGCGTTAGTCAAAAATAATTACATTTTGGAACAGTTGACCATCAGAGACATCCTAGCAGTAACCAGTCAGCAGCTTTAGCTGCCCACAGCCCATCCAGCGACGGCTGTGCTCAATCCACCATCTCCGGGCTTTGCGTCACAGTTCCCAGTATCTCTCCCTTCCCCGCAGATCGAGGGCTGGGAAAGTTTCCCGCCGTGCTAAACCCGCTTTAGGACAGCCTGGAAATCAGAAAGGGCAAACTGCGTGACTAATCGGCTTCGTGTTTTGTGAAACCATCTCCTTCTCCTAGAAACAGTGTCCAAGCACCCCGCGAGAGGCAGGCAGCCCTGCCACAGCTCCGCGCCCACGCTGCCTGCTGGTGAAACACCGCTGCTTGACACTGGACAGTGAAGTCACGGTTCCACGCGGCCTCACCAGGAACCTGCAAAGAAACCACAGCAATGGCCCCTGATGCTGTGCGGTACGCTTGAGTCTAGACGCTGCGTCCAACGCTGGCTCCTAGAGATTAATTTTATCCGGTGGATTCTGGGAAACGTACTTGACAGTGCATTTAATGAAGATTAATGCCACACTAGGTGTTACAAACACCCTTCTTTCTTCATAGCTGACAATAACCTACCTTCATGAAATCCACAAAAGCAGTTCCCACCGTTACGGATACAACGCTTTCACAACAGTTGAGGTTCCATAATGAAGCACACCATCTTCTCCTTCTATAGCCCAATTTTAAACAGTTCCTTAACTCAAGTCATAGAAGACAAATGTATGTAGATATTGCTACCACACAGCCAAGGAGTATATCTCCATGAAATCTGATCTTAAATAACTATTTTTGTTACATACAAAGGCTAAAAAAAATGAAGGTCCTAGAAAATGACATATTTGACACTCAGCATTTCTGGAAGCTGCTTCCAGTTGTGTAACACGTTACAGTCCTACAGCTGGAAGTTTAGGTCATAAGTGGATCTACACTAAGCTTACACTTACCCTCAACAGACACCACATTAACAGTCCTCAAAACAGGCTTTTCCAATACCAGCAGGGTGATACACAACACTGGAAATCTACTCTACCCAAAACATGCCTCCCATGAAAGATAAGATCTTGACACAACAACCAACAGAACTCGCTTCCCTTCTCCAGTTAAACACTGTGGAAGAGATCAGATATTCCCCGAGGATTGGAGATCATCACAGACTGGAACACAGAAGATACTTGAACCTAGTGAAGAACAGCCAGAAGAATTTTGAGCAAGACCACCAGATTCTGTCCCCAAAACCTTTAAGAAACTTAAGTCACTATTAAAGGTACACACCCACCAGCAGCAACAGGAAACTAAATGGGAGACAAAAAAAAGCCTTCCACTGGCACCCAGAAGTACATTTGAAACCAAATTGTCACCAGTTCCATTTTACTCCACCAGCACACAAAAGAGCGGAAGTCTGGCACCACCCTGATAACATCCCCCCCAGAGGAATGAAGTTGGGTGCTGGCACTGCCTAACACATGCTGGGTGTGCAAAGTGGCAACCAGACACAGTTCCCATCAATTTAAGTAACAATACAAAAAGCTCCTCTGGTATTTCAGTCTAAGACTTCTTTCCAAGATGCCAAATTGCTCATAGGTAGATAAAAATCAGTTTCATGACATAGATCCTAAAAGCAAAAAATCCATTTCCTGTTGTAATACATTTTTATAAAGTCATTATGTCCTTGTTACATCATGGAAGATATTACATTGCAAGATTACATTGTGTAAGGTACTACATGTGCAAAATACGATACACATCAAAAAAGTTTCACTACACATGGTTGCAAGTCTACATGGAAAAATTTTACAGCTCTCCCTTTAGCATCATAAGTATGAGCATAAAATGTAAATATTCTAGTATTTTTAGGCTGATGAGAAAGCGTCCCACAGGAACAACACCACAAACTGATGCCCAAGGTCTACCTGCAACCTTCTCCAGCACTACCAATATCCAAACATGTTCAATGACCTGAAGTACCAATCCTCAAAGTTCTCTCAAATCAAACCAATCAAACCTTAAAATGGAAGATTAAATACTACAGCAAGATAGAAAGAAACCTCTGGAGTTTCTGCCTCCTGACAGCATTATGAAGAATTAGGCAGCAAAGCTGCCCACCCTGCCTGTTCAAAAATCAGAGCTTACCTCCCAAGTCTGATGGCTTTTACCAAGTTTGGAACACCCTCCATCTGTATGTTGTCCTCTGCCTCAAACTGCTGATAAGCCTGAGGGGGAGAAAGAGAAACAGACCTGCTAGAATGCCAAATCCAACCAGTGTGATGCCTTCAAGAGGAATTACAAGTTCCTGCTACGCAAGCCAGGACAGAGATCCAGCTCATTGATGAACCTTTCCTAGCACTAAGACTATCTGAAGGCTCTCCTTAGACAGCTTTCATTCAGCTCCATTCTTAAAAACAGGTACAATCGATCCCATGATCCAGTAGGACCTTATGACCAATTAAGTAGTTGCTACAGAGCACACATTTCCAACCATGGACTGAAACAGGGACTGAAGCTATCACTTTCAGATTAAGTACTTGTTTGATTAAGACCTGGAAATAAGAAGCACAGAAAATGGAGTCAAATTTATCACCTGTTTTACAACTTCTTGGCAAGACTGACATCTTCAAGAAGCTCTTACCACTGTGAACTATAGGTCTAGTTCTCAGTTTAAAAAGCAGGGTGCTTCAAATTATGAAGATAATTTAGCTGTCAAGAATGCTCTGTTGATAGCAAATATCAACACATACAGCTGCATTGTCTTATTCCTGACACTTATGGACTGTTCGAGTATCCACTACGTCTCAGACACACAAATCACTGTAATTTATCACCAAAAACCTGACCTAAAACTTAAAAAAAAATCTCCTTAAACGTTCTGCTACAATTGTTTTATATAAAGACAACCATATGCCAGGACATCCTTCATACAGGTTGAGATTCAAATGAACAAGGACATATACAAGTCAACTTCTACCCAAAATCAAGTTAAAAATCATTCGGATCTAGTACCAACTTCTTCTCGCCTAGTCTCTGGCCATAACAGTGTTTCACTAAGAAAAGTTTGGATTGATTGACTGTTTTGAAAACAGTGGGATGCTTCATTTGTACATTTGGCTGTTGAAGCAAGTTACTTGCTGAGAAACTCCAACATGAAGTCAGTGTGAACACAGAAGCTACAGCAGATTGGATTTGTTTTTAAAGCCAGATAACCAGTGACAACTCAGGAATGTAAGATTCTAAAAGACATTTAAAGCAATTTTCTTCATTAC